TATTACAACGTACCTTTATTCATCTATTTAATATATATTTGTTCATTTACTTACTTAATCCCTTCCCTCTCATCCACTTCCAATAAGATCTCATATTTATGTTCTTGCTTGTTGCATATGCATCTAGGTACCTCAAGTACCGTTACAAGACTTATATGAGGAAAAAGAACAAAAAGGAAGAAAACGAGGATTATCAAATTGATTTCGACCTGAGCCCATTTGAAGATCATTTCATGTTTTGGGAGTATCTACAAGTTGGTGGGTAACGATAAATTGTCAAACTGTTACTGAGGCGAATTTTGAATGGGTTACAATGTAGAAATGGTTTTTTAATGAAATTATCCATGCTACTTCTAGTAAGAAAAAAACGTTTTTTCAACATAGTCTTGTAAACTCGTATATTTATGCCAAGTATCTTTATTCTGGAGAGCAAGGCCTCTGCAGTGATCGATGACGATCTTGAGGCGTTCATCCTGGAACTACAACGTGAAGACCACTTTGGGAAGAAGGTTCCTAAATATCGTCGACAGACACTTCCCGAAAAATAACCCATTACACAATATCATTAACCTGTTAACCGCCACACACTAGAGCTAAGATACTCCTGCATGCCAAATATGAAAACAATCATCTCGTCACACAATAAAAAAAACTGCTATCAGATTGCAATCAGTCCCGAAATTTAACACAAATACTCAACAAAGAGTGTAACTGCAGAAAAAAAGATCAATTCCCCCTAGAAGGAAAATGCCTCGTATCAAACGTAGTCTACCAAGCAGCAGTCACAACTGAAACACCAACAGATTCATATGTAGGACTCGCGAAAAATTCAAAGAACGTTACAGAAACCACACATGCATCTTCCTTCCGACATCAAAATAAGAGACACGAAACTGAATTATCAAAGCACATGTGGACACTCAAAGACAACAAAAAGCCTTTCAACCCAAAAAATCATCAAGCAATGCAAACCTTACAACAACATTACTAAGAAATGTAATTTATGTCTTTTTGAAAAATTCATAATCATTTTTAAAAAGGATCACTGCAGTGTAAACAGGCGAAATGCGTTAGCAAGTTCATGCCCCCACAGAAACAGATACCTAGTCAATAACTTTACGATAAAGAAACACAGTCTTCCAAATTATAAACAGCAATCACATGATTTATATTATAAAATAACGCTGTTTTTATATCTCATAACAACCGTTTTTTCACTTTTTTGCCAGTTATTGTAATTTAACGGTCATGCAGTCGTTGAAATTATTACCTGATGAGTGTGGTCATCTTTTAGCCATACGAAACAGAGCTGTAGTAATAAAACGATGCACTAGTCTTGAACCAGTTTGTCAATGCTCCTCTAAGAGTTGAGCGCTCTCTAAAATACGTTCAAATCAAGTTCAAGAATTTATATATAAAAATGTATATATATAAAAAAACGATGCACTACCTCTGAAGTCTTGAACCACCCCTTATGAGTTTCTGTATTAACCGACACAATTAATGCACAGTGGAACCTTGTTAATGCAACCACCGTTGGGCCAAAAACTCCTGGTCTTGATAACGAGGTCATGGCATTAACGGGTCTTCAAAATAATAACATGACTCAGTGATTATTATGTTTGGGTCGAAATAATATGGTCGCAAGGACGAGATTGTCGTGTACACGGGGTAATCGTAAGGTGGGGTTCCACTGTTCTACTGTATCTTGATTTTACATAACATTTGCATTGCACACCACAAGCGTATCGTAAACTGATACAGCTTAAAGTGCTCCAAAAAGAAATATATCAAATATTTTTGTAATCAGTCAATTTATAATATATTACCCTTCCATATACTTTATGCAGGTCGTTTATTAGTGTGTTCATATTGTTTTGTTCCTTGGTGATAGTTTTACAGTACGGATTCGCGACCATGTTCGTGGCTGCTTTTCCACTCGGTCCTCTGTTCGCCCTCCTTAGCTCAGCCATTCGCATTCGAGCAGACGCCTTCAATTTTGTGTCCCAGTTCAGGAGGCCTGATATTGTTCACGCCAAGGATACTGGTATCCCATTCTCAAGCTGATTACAAAAGTTTCCATCTTAGTGAATGCATTTGTGCTGGCGTTTACCTCGGAGTTCATACCTAAACTTCTGTACAGAGTGAAGTACTCATCGGAATCTTCCAGTGGAGGAACGCTGACTGGTTACATCAATAACAGCCTGTCCTCCATTCACACGACTGACATATTTCGAAAAGAACCCGGAACGGAACCAGAAGACCCTTTTGCTCAATTGCCATACAATGACTCAGTCTGCAGGTATTTCAAAAATATTTTTGAAAATTTGTTTTAAGTTCTTTTATTTTACTTATTTCAGTTCTAAGGTAATAATAGCACGCGTCTCATTTGTATATCGTTTGTACAGAGGTTTGAAAAGTCGATCTGCAACTATAATCTTGGGGTCTTTCATTTTAACTCATGATGTCGACTGGCAATATTACAGAAACTAGTTCTGTAAATAGCCTAGTAACCAAATGCAGAGAAAGGCAATAAAGAACTGAGAAGACTTCTTGACATCAGGGGACATTTGAAATTGCACGCACCAAGATTGAGGGGCTAGCTGTTTATGTGATACCGTTATGAATTTTATTCCCGAGTGAGTTTCGTTCCAGAGTGAGGTTCGTAATGCATTCACACATTTACATGATTAGATTAAACTTCTCAGCATACAATGCAAGGCGTTCTCGCTCGAATGGTGTACGCGCCAAGATGAGATATGAACTCCACTCACCCCAGAGTACACGATTTGCGATTGTCAATTCCAAACGAAGTTCTTTTTCAGTTCACATGATACCAGAATGATATTTCTTACCAGAACGAGAATTTCATTCGGAATGAAAACGGGAATGATCTCATTCAAGCTTCATTCAGGAATGACTCGTAAGGGAACAACATTATATTTCAGCTAAATTTCGTCTAGGTATCATGTGAACAGCTGCAAAGAAATATATGGACATGGATGAACTCGTTCCAGAATGAAAGTCATTCCGGTATTATGTAAGCAGACCTTAAATTTAAGTCCCACCAGTAAAGAATCCAGCCTTTACTACCTATAAAGAATCTTTTTTCCAGTTGTGCCTAGCAAGTCGACATTATCGTCTGATAGAGTCCAGCATTAGACAGTCATGATAGCGTGACCTCTTGTAATTGTTTTCGACAATGATTAAACAAAGGCCAACACACTTTATTTCCCTCAAGGGAGAGGACTGCTGCGCAAACTGGTTTTTGTTGTGATTTTTTTCAGGTATTGTGGCTATCATGAAGACTTCTGGCCTTATAACTTTTCCAAGCAATACTGGGAATTGATTGCTGTGCGCCTCGCTTTCGTATTTGTGTTTCAGTTCACTGTGTTCTTGGTCAGTAATTCCATAACCTACTTGGTCCCCGACGTTCCGGAGAGTTTCGCGTTAAAGAAAAAGCGAGAGAAGGAGCTGATTAAAATTGAGTTTGGGAATAAGG